AGCCTGGAGAAGAGAAGGCTGCAGGGAGACCTTATTGCGACATTCCAGTATTTAAAGGGGGCCTATAGAAAGCAAGGGGGCAATCTTTTTAGCAAGGCCTGTTGTGACAGGACAAGGAATAATGGATTTATGCTGAAGAAGAATAGATTTAGACTAGACATAAGGAAGAAATCTTTTGCAATGAGGGTGGTGAAGCACTTGAACAGGTTGCCCAGAGAGGTAGTGGAGGTGCCATCCCTGGAAGCATTCAAGGTCATGTTGGACGGGGCTCTGAGCAACCTGATGTAGTTAAATCTGTCCCTGCTCACTGCAGGGGGGTTGGGCTAGATGACCCCTAACGGTCCCTTCCAACCCAAAGCATTCTATGATTCTATGGTTTAGTGGGCATGGTGGTGTTGGGTTGGTGGTTGGACTGATGATCTTAGAGATCCTTTCTGACCTTAATGATTCCTAGTTTTTACTTTCATTAAAAAATAATCCAGCCACCAAGCCAGAAAACATGAAATTACTACTCTACCCTTAATTGGTTTAGTGGTGGACTTGGTAGTATTAGGTTAGTGGTTGGACTGGATGATCTTAAAGGTCTTTTCCAACCTAAATGATTCTATGATTCTATGATTCTATTTGTTCTTCTGGTACGTAGTCAGACAAATATTAGTCAGCATTTTTACTGATGCTGATGAGGTTCTTCAGAAGCATCAGATACAGGTTTCAAATGCTGTGAACTCCCGAAGAAGCACCGTCGTATTCTATCCCAGTTCTGATTCAAGGCTATCTGTACAGCAGCCAGAATACTCTGATACTGCAGAGATAGGCAGTGCAGAAGTTGCCAAAATGGTTGTTAAACAGAAGAAGTTCCATTATTCCCCCATGAAATAGCATATAGGACACAGGAAGTAAGACATTGTCTGAAGTGACACCTAAAGATAAAAAAAGAACAAAAAAAGGTGACAGAAAAAGACAAAGTTAGTTCTTACTGGAAGTTAAATCTATTTTTTTGAATATGAAGCCTTGCTTTACCCCTTCTACAACTAAACTCTGTCCTCCCAGCCATTTTGAAGTCCTGTGAAGCACATTCACAAGTGGCAGGTCATCTCCAACCTGTATAAGACCATGGCTTCGAGCACCTGGTTTTTATGCCTCAAAAGACTTGTAATTTGCATTTGTTGATTTTTCCCCTACTATACATGTAACTGCACGGAAAAGAAAAAAGGGAGAAGGATAAATGTAATATCAGAGTGCCTGACACTTTCTCTGAGGCCACACATTGCCCTAGACGAAAGCAGGCATGAGCAATACCTGCAGAAAGCGCTGGTTAGCTACCCTTGCTGAAGGACACCCTGCAGGGATTTCTCATACGCATAAGAGAAGTAAATTAAAATGGTGATTCTGTGTCGTAGTTTAACCCCACCTGGCAACTAAGCACCACACAGCTGCTCACTCATTCTGCCCCCGGTGGGATGGGGGAGAGAATTGGAAGGGTAAAAGTAAGAAAACTGCTGGGTTGAGATAAAGACAGTTTAATAGGTAAAGCAAAAGCCGCGCATATAAGCAAAGCAAACCAAGGAATTCATCAGCAGGCAGGTGTTCAGCCATCTCCAAGAGAGCAAGGCTCTGTCACATGCAACGGTTACTTGGGAAGACAAACGCCATCACTCCAAAATCCCCACCCTTTTTTCTTCTTCCCCCAGCTTTATATGCTGAGCATGACATCATATGGCGTGAATATCCTTTTGGTCAGTTGCGGTCAGCTGTCCTGGCTGTGTCCTCTCCCAAATTCTTGCGCACCCCCAGCCTACTTGCTTTTGCTTTTCCTTTGTAACATTTTTGAAATTGTAGTCCTGAGGTCAGTGGTCATTGAGCTAGCTTCTCAACCCATGCAAGATAATGGGAATCCTGGTACTAACTAGAAAGATTTGACCCATGTAATTTTTTATTTACAGTGTCAAAATTGTTGTGTTGCACTGTCAATCTGTCCATGTCAATTATGCTCCCTGCCCATATATTTACTGGGAACCACAGGTGCTGCTATGATGAAGGGTAACACTTCTCACATATTTTTTTAAAAGAGTAAGAGTAAAGCTGAATTAAATTTGCTAAAACAGTAGAGTGACCCTTCTAGAACATAAACAGAGGTCTAGAGCCACTACTGTCTTTTAGCCAGAGGAATTGTTGTGCTGGATACTGAAGTTCTACCTCTTCAATTTCAATAAAGCAGGCTTATAATAAAATATATATGTTAACACAAATAATAGGGTTTTTCATTAGGCATTATGCAGTCCTACTATCTTGTGTATTAAGAATAAGCCAAGTGAATGCCAGATGATTCAACTAGAATTCAACTAAAACCATGTCAAGTAATTAGATATAATTTCTGCAGAAGTGATTAAAAAAAAAATCAATAAAGATCATAATGTTAGATGAAGTTGTATATTCTCTTAGCATTGAGCGTGTTAACTCATGTGCTGATTGTGATCTGTGACTATCATAATCACCACACCCATATTAGTCACAAGTAAAGGCAATTCAAAAGTAACAATGAAAATCACTCACCTCCTCCTTTCTATGGCATTTATAAGGTTCAGTCAATTATTTCTTTTCCCTAGCTTGTAACCCAAAATTAGGGTAAATGAAACCACATGAGGACTAAGATCCAGCCATCCTAGCTAGTAACCCTGCTGTCTCTGCCCGTTCCCATTACATGATTCACTTTGAATTGCTAGCACCCATGAAAACAGGTAAAATTTGCACTCTTAAGAAAAATAATTTGTAGGAAAAGAGACTATTTTATATTGAAATGTTTATAGGAGCAAGAGTGTATTTATTCTGATGTTTTCTATCTGATTGTAAAATAGGGTCATGGTCATATTTCCTTAAAAAAAAAAAAAAAAGGTAATTTTCTTTGCGAACTGTTAGATAAGAGTAGCTTCATGCAACAGAAGATATATGTGCCTTTTAGTTAAAAACTATCATCTCATGTTTTGATTTGGGATTGGCTTCATTAGGCTTTGATGGAGAAACTGAGCTGAGTTACGAGTGATTTCTAGTTTGGATTTCTCTGGTTAGCTCATCCAAATGAGGACCATTTTAGCTATTACAGATCAGAAGACAAATAGTTTTCGGCATGCTACAGGTCACAACAGTTTTCATCCCTAACTGGACATCTCTGAAAACTATAAGTTCTTTGGTGTCTGAATTCTCGCTTTAGACTTGTACTAGATTAAAAAAACCCAGTATTTTAGAATTATTTTAGGGAGCAATCTATTGCTACTTAAATTTAAGCTTCAGAGCTTCTAGGCGTTGTGCGTGAATCACAGTTGCTTTAGAAACAATCCAGGGAAGCAAACCAAAACTTGACAGCAACATTCACAGATTTTTTGTTAGTTAGTTTTGGGGGGGTGGGGGGTGGTAATCTTGGAATCTATCTTTATCCATACTGGTTATATACTATTGTGCATCTGTTTTGGGATGTAGGAGTTCTCATATACTAAATAGATCTGAAGAGGTAAAATTTGAGTAGTTATATGGACAGATGGAAACAAACAACAGAGCCTATGTCTCAAAAAATGCCATCATAGGCGTTGAGAACTCTATTTAGAGAAGCAGGCCTGATTTACCACTGCCTTGTAACATGTGTATGCATTTGCATTTGTGCAAAATAAATGCAGAATGCTTCTCATTCTTAGTTGGGAGTATTTTGAACAGGTGTTAGTGATCTTAATGAGCTCCACAAAATGGAGAAACTAATCTGGGAAATCTGCAGACTTCTCTGTGGATAAGGTAGCAGGAGTATTATAAAGCACTATAAGCTTGGCTCTTCCTAATTTCTTTTCAAGCTGGTGATTGGTTTTGGTTGATATGAGAGAACACATCATCTGTGCCCCTGCCCTTTATGATGCATTGTAGCTATGGCACAATATCTGGCTAGAGAAATGGTTCTGGTTTAGGTTGCTTTTGGAATGCTTTCTTTCCTTTGCTAATACATTCAACTGACTTTCTTTTAAAATTTGCTTTTCTAACTTAAATGTAGTAGTGTTACTTATTTTCATAATTAACTTTATCTGCATTTCAACCAAAAATAACAAGAAATATAACAATGATTAGATATTGTTAACCTTAAAAAAAAATCCTTCTCTTTATCTCTACTTGCAGTTTTTCACTTGTTGCCTAATTAAAGTATGAGATTATTTTAACCTAATTATTTTCTTGATCTATTATTTGAATTCCACTGAAAATGTTGGCTTTCCTGTGTACTTAAACTTTTATCTTTAATATACAGATAGAGTTGCACATACTGAATTGGTTTCACATAATTTAATAGGTAATATAATTCTGGGGAAATGTCTTGTTCACCCCCAAATGGACTAATTAAATAAACACATTGAATTCCTTAGTGTTGCTAAATTGAAATGATGATATAGGTCTTTGATTTTTTTTTTTTTTTTTAAATATTCTTTGATCCGCTATGTAATGTCACAAAAGTGACAGGTGCCCTAAGAAACTTTAGTAGTGAAGTGTGGAATTCAAAGTGAGAGTCTTACCAGTTTGCTCATTACAGTGGAGGAGAACAGAAGTATACCAGTAACTTAAGCTGCTCTACTCAGTCGTATTCAAAAAAGACAAGCATGCCTGGTGCAGACAGAAGAGATATGCAAAAGAAGCAACTTTTGAACCACATGGCTGACAAGGAGCAAAGACCGTTACCTGGGAGAAGCAACTATGCTGGAAACCTGTCTCGATCTGAGAAGAAGCTCCAAGAGGCTATTTGTGTGCTGCTGGTGGAGCTGTGTGAGCGATTCACGTTCTTTGGCATTGTCTGCAACATGATCCTCTTCTGCACTGTCAAACTTGGCTATCGCAACTACCAGGCAGCTATTGTCAATATGTGCTTTGTAGGCACCTCTATGTTGACACCAGTACTGGTTGGCTGGCTTGCCGAATGCCTTGTGGGGAGGATCAAACTTGTGTGCATCTGCATGTTTCTACACTTCCTAGGTAGGTGACAACCTGGTGGCTATTTCATGTTTTAGTAATTCTGTTGCAGAAATGTATTATTGAGTATTGTGTTTGAAATCTAATAATTTTCTCCAACGTTGTGGCCACCGTCTTTAACAGGTAATTACTTAGTTTCTTCTCTACAAAATGCACTGCCGTACTATGCAGTGCACTATGTCCTTTTGTGAGGGAGTGCTTTGAACAAGACTAAGGAACATTTGTGTGTGCATCTTGTGGATAGTTGGTGTGTAAACTTGGCTCCTCGAAAGTGGCTTAGCTATTCAGAACACAGATGCTCAACTCTTAAAATTGGTCCCTTTAACAAGAATCTAAGGTTATTAGTGTTTGGGACAAATGCGAGGTTTTAGTCGGAGAGATAGTTTGAGTTTGGAAACTGTTTCCCAACTGTCGGTAGTAAGATTTTATTATATGTAAAGATATATGACTGTTGTCTTTGGAGAAGAGAGAAAGATGTATTTAAGCATATACCAGTATAAACAAACTTTGTCTTAGGCAGAGAGGCTGTATCCTAATACCTGTATTGAGAGCCTGCTTTCTGCTAGCAGATTCTGAATCTTCCCCACGTGTTATTCTGGAGATCTTTTACATAAAAACACTGTTCAAACTAAGTATGACTGTTCTGTAGCAATTAGTGCATCTCACAGCTGGTAGTTATTCTGTCAACTTAAACCAACCTGATAGAAATACCTTACTTTACTTGGACCAGTTGTTGAGCATAAGCATGTCTGATTTCTGCAATAGCCAGCCATGTTGTTATTTAGGTATGTAACAAAGTAAGGAAAAAAATCAAAGTCATTCCTGAAATGTTCTAGAGCTGATTGCAAAACCATTGTGCAAGCAGCCTGGAAAAATGATTGCTATTATATTCCACTGTTTCTCCAATGGGTTTCTCGTTTGGAATCTCCTTCTGCTGCTTGTCCTTTCAATGCAGATCTTAAAGTAGAAGACTGGGGACCCAAACAGAATTTGATGTATTCGGGTATTGTTTTAACCACAACTTTTTTTTTTTTTTTGAGATAGGGTATTAAACATACCTGACGTATTAGGGTTTGATGCACAGTTGTAGCCTTAGTCATGGCTAATGGTGGTGGTGTTGGCACATCAATATATTTTGAGTTTAGTCTCCAATTACAACTTGGAAAATCTGTAGCTGATTAAATCTAAAAGACTTGCTTTGCAGACTAGAGGTGGTAAAAGCATTTCATGGCAGTGCTTCTATAGGTAAAATTTCTGAAAAGCATGTATTTTCTATGAAGCTGCAGCAGAAAAAAAGAAAATTTTCCACAAAAGTTTTGAGAATTTATTTGTTAAATTATGATTGTCATTACAATTCTGGGGTTTAAAGAAGATGCAAAAAAGGCTACACTCCACCATGGGTGTTTTGTTTGTTTTCTGTTGATCGGTGGTTCATCAGGTGAAGTTACGTGTTTTAACTGGTGCCCTCTGGCAAGTGGAGAGCTACTGCCCTCTATGCACAGGCAATGGGGAAGGCCAGTGAGAGGAGCTGTGTTTCCAGAGTGAGCTCTTCAGTTGATTGAACAACCTGAATCCTTACAAGAATTTCAGAGGAAGATTGCTTAGGAGGCCCTTAGTGGTCTTGCCTTACTATATATAGTGACATCCTGAAAGGTTCTGCCTCTCTACAGAATTAAGACTCTCCCTCTTTGCACTCCTCTGTTGTGTATCTTTGATTTTTTTTTTTATCTGTCTTTTCAATATAACTGCTTAAAAATATGTGTCTTATTCATCAGTCTGATTCTAATCCATTTCAGATGACAACTTTCTTTCCAATTCCAGGCACAGCCCTGTTACCTGTTGTGGCATTCCCCTTTGAAGATATTTACATTGGCAGACGACATATTCTTCACACGCTAACCAAAAGGGAGCAGAAAATAGTATTCTACTTTGCACTACTCACAGCTAGTCTGGGAATAGGAGGCGTAAGAGCTATAGTTTGTCCATTAAGTGCATACAACCTTGAGGACTGTGGACCGAAGGAACTTCTTTCTTTTTTCAACTGGTTGGTAACTTAATGTCAGCTAAATATCTGTTGGGGATGGTAGAGCATTGCTTTGAAATTCACTGCTGACTTACAAAGCAGATTCTACTGATGGTGGGTTTCATGTTTTGGTTTTAACTGCAAAACATTTAGATTTTGGAAGAGTTTCCAAGAATTTCTGTAAAAACTTTTCCTAAATTTTTCCTTTTGCTAGGAACTGTAAGTGATCATCTATTTTGGCCTCCTACATAAATCTTCAGTCAGAATTAGGATGAACTGATTTGTCCAGATACCCACAGACTTGATAGCCTAGTTGCTATTAGAACAACATATTCCATTTGGTTTTCTACCTTTAACATGGCTATCCCTTTAGGATATTTTGTTGTTACTCCCTAACTAAGAATGGCAAAATTCAATGATATATTAGAATTTACATCAGAGTAAATATTTAGCAATGACAGGCAGCAGTTGGAAGTAGGTATTGCTAGTAGTCTCTAACTGCTAAGCTCAGTGGTAGGGATCTGCTGTATTGTTTCATCTCTGTTGCTGTGAAGTTTTGGCATCAGATAAACCACTTGACATTTGTGTATCAGTTTGAATATTTTAAAGTTTAAAAACTTTAGGAGAAATTGCTCTTAAAATGGTTCTTAAAATTCAGATTTTTTTCATATTAACTATTTGTCTGTCTCTCTGTGTCAGAGGGGTCATTTTTGAGGATATGTTTGCCTTTATTTACCACTTCTGTAGCACTATACAGAGTGCTATATACATTCACCTGTACCTTCTGGTTAAACTGTGGAGTAAGGATCAAAGAAGTCATAGTGGGAACCTCCAGATTCCTGCTTTGAGGCAGGGTGAAATAAGTCCTAAACTACCCCTTTTCTCTTTTTTTCCCTGTACATGCACAGTTATTAAAATCAAAACTGAGCACATTTGCATATTGACAATGCAATGCTGAAGAATCAATTAAGATCTTAGTGAATCAGATCTTCCTTTGGGAATGGCTTTCCTGGCTATTCTTTTTTCCTCCAATTATGTTACTATCAAAGAGTTTTGAATTAAATCCAAACTTCAATGAATAAGGCAGGTTTAGCAAAGGTGGATGAGACTGCTTAGTTCCTTAGAGCAGATTCTACCTCCTTGACCTGCCCATAGGAGAGTAGGAAAAAAAAAAAATATCCTTTTTACTCTGTTCTGAGTTTTAATCCTTAATTAGCAACATCATTTTGATTAAATAAGACTCTGGGGGATTAAGACTGGAGAGCAATCAGTTGTTCTGAAAGATAGCTCTGGAGAATTTATTGTACTGTGGTCTTAGCCATTCAGAATTGTGTTTAATCAAAGTGACATTTCTCAGTGTTGATTACAAAGGAGACATAATACGAATAAAAAGTTCCTTGGGGGGAATCCAAATGGGTCAGTTCTTGGGACTTCGGAAACATTAAGAAAGGCACATGTGCGATTAAAAAAAATTTAATAATTTTTGCAGTGGCATCCAAGGAGGGGCTATTTGATTGCAATCTCAAGATTTAAAAAATTCTTAGGATTCTTAATCTCATTAAAACCTCTCAGAATATAATAATTTTCTCTTGGTAGGTGCTTGTCACAGGACTGAATTTTAAAATAATATAAAATGAGATGGTTGCATACTCTTGGTGAGTGAGAGTCTTGTGTTCTTAGCCAAGTTCGATTTAAACAATCAGAATTATTGGGTTAAAAGACCGTGTCATTACCTGTTGTCTAATTCAAACCTCGAAGATTGCTTTGCACATCTAGGGCCTGGTTTTAATCCCTAGTATGAACTATGAGTCTGACCTTTTAAATAAACAGAATATACCAATGCTAAGTGAAGGGACTTGGATTCTGTTGGACTATATTTCACCAAGGACTTCTGCTTTTCTAAGGTTAAGGTTATGCAGCAGGAGAAGTAAATTCTGTCTATGGGAGCAGAGAATGAGAGCAAAGGGTACAATCCAGACTAGGGATGAGAGTTAGCAATGTTGTGTCTTGTGTTACTGATCTGCTGTAAAAAAAAAAAAAAGCAGAGAACATGGGACCAATAGTATTTCCCTCCCTTCCCTCCATAATTTTTCATTCCATACACTGCAGATCAGTTTCTGCTGTTATCCTGGACACACTTTACATTGACTTTTTAAAATGTTTTTCTACCCCTTTGGGTGTTTTTCCCCCCACCTTGTCTTTGCAGAGAACTCCATAGCGATTCTGAAAAAAATTACTTCCTAGAAAGCTGTAGTACAGAAAAATATATAGCTTGGATAATGCTCCATACATGGAATATCTGGGTCTGAGTTTGGATAAATCAAAACTTAAAATGTGAGAGCTAGGCATGCCTAAAAAATAAAATCAAATAATATCTCAAGTGACAGAAAATCTATTGAGTCTGCAAAATTATTCCAAAAAGGGACAAAAGGTCAATTTTAGGATGTTTTCATATATTTTACTTGACCTCAGGATTGTTTCATTCAGCAGGTTCATCTCAATTGTTACATTAAGTAAAACCTTTCTGAGTACTGTATAAACATAAACAATACTTTTAAATAAGAAGTCACATAGATGTTACTTCTATAAAGTTATCACAATTAATACATTTCTGTAAAATGTTATAAGATTATTAGATTTTTATGGGCATGTCACAATAACATTTAGGTTTGTATCTGGACTGCATTCTTGAAATGAACCTCCCAAGTTGGTGTTTGGCTCTCATTGTGAAGAGACCTCAGAGCACTGAAGCTACAGGAACAAGCTGTTCCCTGCAAAGTTGGACATGATATTCAGTTTGATGCATTTAACTAATTCAGCTATGCCCTGCTGGGGTCTCTGAGACCATTTATGTAATGCAAGTCCAAATATTGCAATATTAGATAGCTGTGGTATATGAGAGCTAGCGAGATGTGTTTCTGTTTGTGTGATATGAGCAAATCCCAAAATTCTGATGTGTGCATTGAGGTTAGTTTATCTCTTGTTTGGTCCATAGGGATTGCTAGAACACGTGGGTTTTTTTCTTCTCATTTCTACTAGACGACAGGAGCTCTGCATTTCAATCTTACAGTACTTTGCTATACAGTCACGAAAACCAAAAGCACTCTCCTGTACTCAGGGTTTTTCTTCGGAGGTTCCTACTTCCACTGAAACAGTCATAAAGTCATGAAGTGTCAGGACTTCAGGTAGCTCCGGCACACTTCTTCACAAAGTTTGGAAAACAGCCACTGAAACTTCTAACTTAAAATTGTCAGTTAGGAATTGTTTCAAAACTTCTACACAAGTTCTAGCTGACCCAGTTGTGTAACTCATATCTTTTTAAAAGCTTTAGTAGAACAGGGGTCAACATGTGTATGTACAAAATCCATCCAACTATACCATCATCATGGAATAACATAATTCCAAAGTGCCTAGAGACTGCTTTCAGTGGAGGGGAAAAATCCGTGGTTCTGATGAGCATCATCTCCTGAAAACGTAAATTACTTAAAAGAAACCGTAATTGGTTTGGAACTTCGGACATGTTTTGGTGTGACGTCGGAGAAATGCGTGAAGCAGGAGAGCTCGCTGCTGTGCATGTCTGTGATGGTTCCAGGAGAGCTGCTGTTGCATGGCTCTTGGCAGCACTGGGTTTGCCCGGGTGGAGTATGTCATTTTTCTTCTGCCACTTGCCTTGGGTCCTGTGATGCAAGCTGCGTAAGCACATTCCCTTGCCTACTGCTGCACAGCCCTGTGGTCATTTCCCATCCCTTAGCAGGGTGAGAGAGTGTTGTTTTTGTAACTGTGCAGACCTGAGTAGCATTACCAAGGTCTGTGCTTCTGACATGATGAAGGTTTTGCTTTCTTGGCACTAGCTACATGTGAGGTAATGGACAGTGTTGGAACAAGTGGAAGGAGTACAGCACTTCAATACTGTAACTTGCAATATGACTATGGTTTGTCTTGGCAATTATGGCAGGCCACCTAGAAGTCATGTTAAATGAATGAAATGGGGCTGAGGAAGTCTCCTAGGTGTCAAGAGAGACTTGCAATCCACCTCTTAGGATTTTCAACTCAACACATTTTGCTGTGATTGCAGATGCGGTGAGCTGCAATGGTAGACCGATACCTCGCTGCTGCCCTACCCGCTCATTTGGAGTTGAGGAGGGATCAAGCTGGAAAGCTTGGGAGTTGGATTGTTGAGGGGTAACTGGTTTTCTACAACATGTTAAGATTTTTCTTTTGTTGTTGAGAAGGTAATTCTAGATTAATTAGGAGACATAAATTCTCAAGTCCAAATAGCATATATGAGACAGAAGTGGCACCAGACAAGAAAGCAAGCTTTGCTTCCTCAAGCAATACGTATTAAGCTGTATAATTATGTATGAATGTATGTTTCACCTATAAATGAAACCATTTTGCTAAGGTCCCAGCAAAGGTGAAGGAATCTCCTCTTTCTGTTGCTTACAAAATGCAATCTATGATATATTGAGGTAGTACTACTCCATTATGGATTCCTCTTCTTTGGTTAAAATACAGGTGTTTTCTCTAAAGCCAACTTGGAACTTGAAAGTTTAGTCAAAGTAAAATTCATAACTTAAAATTTCAAAGGCTAATTCTGCAAGCCAGAGTCAAATCTGAGGCAAAAATTGCTGAATGACTGACTCTGACTCTTCAAATGATGTATCATACTGATCCCTGACAGTTAATAATTTTGGAAACTATGACTCAAACAAAGCAGGTCCTCCCTAAATCTGATCAATCTACTCTGAGATGCTGAATATTCATTGAGTCTGCTCTGTAGCCTCAAGCTGGTGTTTTGTGTGAGAGTTATGTTTTAAGGGAAACCTTGGTTAAAGCTCCGCTGAAAGCAAAAAGACAACACAAGTGGCCTGAAGAACAGTATAAGGGGAGCACCTCAGAATTTAAAAGAACTTAGAGGGGTTATAGCTGAAGCACTTGCAATTATGAATGGTAGAGTAAAAATTGGTCAGTCATGTTGTGAGAAGAGGGCTATGCAATAGAAGAATAAGCAGTACATTTTGTTTCACTTAAGTTTCACTTTAATAAATAGCTGTGCAGTTAACTACTTGAAAAGGCTGAATTTTAGAAGAACTCATGATTTAATGTGTTATGTAGGAGTCAGAATTCAAGGAAAAAAGTGTGGTGACAATATACTCCTAACCATGCAGATATAAAGACATTTGCTAGGATAAAGAAAATAAGAACTTATCCTTTTGCAGCCTATCAGGGAAATGCATTGTTTTGGCACTTTTTATTTTTGGGGGTTGCTTTTTGCTGTCCTTATAATTCATTCAAGCATATTTATTGTGCTATTGTCAGGGGTTCCAAACTGTAGTGGGCCTATAACTAGTGGTATGCCATCTGCTTCCAAGAGTATGCAATTTTCATTTTAATATCTTCTGTGCATAGATGGGGCTCAGCACTTACTTGGGAAGTACCTCTACTGCCAAAGTCAGTCTCAGAGAAAATTATGCTAGGGAACCTCCTTATCAAGATATTTCCAGAAACCAGCAAAAATTCAAGCTGAGCCTTGCAACTAATGGAAAAGCTATCCCTTCTGAGAAATCGAATTTGAATATTTCTTAAACAAGGGATGGTGGCATTAAGACATTTTTCTCTTAAGCTTAAAGTATGTGATTTGATGACATTGCATACACAAAACATGTTATCAGATATTAAATGTGTAAATGGTAAATGTTGATGTATTTAATTACTCTGATCCACAAGAATATTTCCAGTACTTGATTGATAGTTTGTTCAGTTCTACTGCCTTAGTACAGTTACTTTAATCATATACCTCTTGGAGCTGAGACTTCCAAGTGAAATTTGATGTTAATTGCTGTGTCAATGTGTGCATGGTACTGATGCTCTCCATGCTTACTATACTTACTATGCCTTTAATGTAATGTGTTAATCTTCTGTAAAGGCCTTATATCATTCAGCCTCTCCACTCTTCTCTCTCTTGTCTGTGTGTACTAGGTTTTATTGGCTTATTAACCTAAATTCAGCAGTTGTCTTTGTCAGCATTTCTTATATCCAGCAGTCTGTGGCCAGGAACCTTGGTTTTCTTATCCCATTTGTGTCCGTGCTTATGGCTATGATCACAATTCACATGGTGCGTGGTGAAATGATTTACAAACCCAAAACAGGTAAGAGGCAACTGTACCTTGGAAATATCTTTACAGATTATTTTCACAGAAGAGATCAACTTGCATATCTAAAATGAGTTCTTCCACAACACTGCCCTGTTTGGTTGGAGATACTTGGGTTTTAGCTCTACAAGGTCTGTGTGTAAGAGACAACATCCATCCTCTGTAAAGATAAGACCTGGAGATTCTGCACAGGCTGAAAAAGTGGAAAGCAGTCTCTGCTAAACTTATGTATGTTTTCTGTCACGTCAAAACACATGTCAAAGCATTTGCCTGTTCAGGAAGAGGTACCATATGCATGCTGCTGGTGGACTTTATCTTGCCATGTTTGGTTCAACCTATGCCCAATGTGGTTTTGGTCAGTTGAAGCAGAGTTTACGCCTGTGCTAAGGCACCAAGAACACTTGTGTTTTCTCCCTTAAGTGTGCTCCATTGCTTTGCCTGAAGTCTCACCTTGGCAGCCAAGCAGTGTGGTTAGTCAGCTAAACAGGAATATGCACTAGTAGCAAAGTTGTTATATAATGCCTTTATCTTGCAGAATGTCTGATGCTTATTGTTACTTCAGCGTGCTTGCTTATGCAACACCATGGGTTTTTACACATTTGAAAATAACTAGAAATACTGACTAACTCTAAATAGTTCCTGTTGCAGACTGTGGGGATAGTTTAAAACAGAAGAAGTTCCTACACTTCTGTGGCCTCATTAGTTGGTACCTGAGCTCTTCAGAATCCTTTGATGGCATCCCTCCCCATGACCAAGGACAGAAATGTCAATGGAGCCTAGGTGACCTGTATAAAGCTGTATGTGCCCAAACCTTGCTATTCTTTTTCCAATAGAACACAGAAACTGAAAGCAAGTTGTTATTTCAGTCTTTTTGTTATAAATAGTCTAAGCAACAATATATTAGCAGTGAGGGAATCAATGCATAAATCAAGTGCCTGGGAATATCATAGTAAAGACATCACTAGAGAGGTTTATTCAAAACAGAGCCAAAGAAATGCATCCCCTCCACAATGCCCCAAAAATGTCATGGTAATATGCAACTGAGGGCTGCAAAGACTAGAATCAAATTAGCTGCCTTGTCATGGAGAGAATTGTGGCTGGCTGCCTCACTGGGGCTCACTGCAGGTTTTACAATCTGAGAAGGTAAAAGGATTGATTAGTATCCACCCCTGAGCTGGACTTAGTCTGTAGTTTATCATCTAACTAGTTTAATTCTACTAAGTGGAATAACATAAATTTGTAGATTATGTCTATCTTGGCCATCATCAAAACTAGCAGAATAGGGGTTTTTTGTTTGAATCAAATGTTTTTCCCTATGAGTGTTGTTTGATTTATCGTTATGTTGTCCAAGCCTTTGCAGAATGCCAATCTCTACACTAATATCTGCAAAGTTTTTTATCTCCTTAGTCAAAATAAAAGATAATGTACTTTGTACCTTCCAGTAAGATAATGAAATTGGAAGTTCTTCAGAAATGTAATTCAAATCCATAAGTGACCTTAAATGATTTTTATATATGCTGCCTTTTTTATTTTAAGGTAACTCTTCAAATATGGATCATGCATTCAATTATGTTTAGCTGTCAAGCATGGACTTCATTTGCATTTCTTCCCACTGCTATAATTTTGAGGACTGGCAGGTGACCAGAGATGAGGAAAAAATGTGTATCTACCATCTAGGGTGCAATGTAGGCTTTTTATTGTAATTAAGTAGCATAGTTATTCATGATTAGATCAAGGTCAAAGTAGCAGAACATTACAGCCAAGGACTGAAGTATAAAAGAGAAAGAAAATTGCCTTCTGAAAGATGCAATTTAATATCTATATAGATAGATTTTTTTTTAAGAAAACATTAGAAATGCATGTATAGAGTATATGATGTTGATCTACACAATGTGTACTGATATAAATATTTATGCTTTTAAACATGTCCCTTACTAGCTATTCAAATTTGTAATCTGAAGAATCAGCACTATGGAGTTCTGTGGGGTTTACTTGTTTTCTTTTAAAGAACGGGTGAGATACTAATTCTAACTACATCATTGGAAAAATACTCTTGATAATGATTAGGCCTATGTGTCATTCAGGTTGATTTTTGAACTACAGCTTCAAGCAGCTTTATCTTCCCAGTTTACTAGATCTTATAATCTGCTGGAATTCCATGCCGAGAAACACAGCTAAATAATATAGTTGTCTGTTTTGCTTCATACAAAATACTGTTTCCTAGGTAGTTGACTGAAATTATATTAAAGAGGGCCTCAGCTGATCCATTAGAAAGGCAGTGGAATGTCAGGATTTGTTGTCTATTTCAGTCTTTTTCTTCAAAGAGAGTAAGAAGAGTCTGCCCAACATCCTCCATTCCAAGGGCAAGGAGATGGCTGTGGCTATCTTCAGGACTAGGTCAGATAAACCAGGATACAGTCATGTTGTTGCTTTGTTTGAGCTGCCTGCTAGTCTTGTCATGGGGCACTCTGTGCATCTTCTGATTTCAGCACTGACTGGGTTCAAACCCTTGTAAAGCAGTAATAACAACACTTTGCTGGTTTTAATTCCTTCTCTGTGAATGTCTAACTTCAAGCATACGGCAAAGCAAAAGATTTTCACTCCTCTGACCTAAAACATGTAATTACTATCTCTGCCAGTGAATTGAGCTGATACTGACTTTTTCTGCTACTTTGTTTTTTACTTCTGAAAATAACTCTGCTTTGACAAGAGCCCAACGTCCCATTTGTTTTCTGGTCAGCTTCTTAGTCAAGTCACTCCGGAAGTCTGCATATTTTTCTTCTAGTCTTCAGATTCAGTCTTGAACTAGTCTAGATCCTAAACTTAAACATCACTTACAATGAGTGGTAAGAATAGCTGCCTAGTATAGTCATATAGAACAATAAAACCTGTACCAACTCTCTGTGTTTGCAAGCTATGATATGCTCTCTATTTCGGATTTTATTCAACAGTGCCAGCAGTCTACAGGTTAATGCTAAACAGTCAGAGTTTTAAATGTTAGTTATCTAATAAAATTCCCTTTCTTAGTACTCTAGAGCAAGTGCTTCTAATAGGTGTCAGTGGATATTTCTAGAAAATAATTTCCATACCAGAGATAGTAGGGATACTTTTTTCCCTCTACCATCTTCTTAGTTCACTGTAGGTTTTGGAAAGTATTTATTTATAGATACCCCAGTTGTTGTAGTGCTTCAGCACTCTCAGAAAAGCAGAGAAGTTCTATAACCCCTATTTGCGTGGATCGGCAACTTATCAAAGGTAAATAGATCTGCATTCCCAAGCCTGAAACTAACACTTTTATCCTTGTTTTAGTTCCATTGCCTCTGAGCCTGAGAACCAAGTTAGCAATTCCTGAACCCAGTAACCAGTGGGCAAATTTTAATATGCCAAATACTAGAATGGAAACTTCACTCCCACAGGATGCTACCTGGAAGTCCTGATATATTTCTAGCTTTGAAATGCATCCATGAAAACTCTCTTACCACCCTTCTTTTGAGCTGCTTTTCCCTCTCACTTCACTACTACCCTCCCCTTGCTGGACTTCAGTGGACATGCAGTATTTCATTACTGTCTTGAATGAAAAACTAACAACATTCAATCAATAGAAAGCAAAGTAATACTTTACCTGCTCAACCACAGCAACAAATTGTTGTGGTGTGTTAAATAAATGGGAGCAAAAAGCACTTTTCTCTGTGGATGTTGGGCTGGATTGCTTTTGTAACAATTAGGATGTGAACCAACTGGCTTCCAAAAAAGAATGTTTTGGAATAAATCCAGATGGTTATTGCCTTCCTCCTACCCCAAAAGACATAAAGATGAATATATCAGATTGTATTTACCCTCCCAAAGTGATTTGTCTTGTCTTGTTTATTTTCTCAGCAAGTAAAACCGTACCAATATCTCTGATTGTTTGCAGACAGTTCCCTGCTGACGACTTTTGGGGTAATTGCTAGTGCACTGAAAACGTGCTGCATGCGATATCGCTACTTTAACGGAGGCATGACAAACTGGCTAGATCATGCCAAGGAAAACTATGGTGGTCAATACAGTGAGACTCAGGTGGAAAGCACAAAGTCGCTTGCCAGGCTCTTCCCGTTGTTTGCTTTCCAAATTCTATACAGGATGTGTATTATGCAGGTGGGTACACAGCTTTTAAACAAAAATCTTGAAAAATACTGTGACATGTGTTTACTACTATGTTTCTAGGTGCTTTTTTTTCTAACTGTTGCTTTACCAGCAGAGCAACCTTGCAGAGTAGTTTTAATTATCTGAGAATATACCTTGTTATATCCTCTCATCTTATCAAATAAGTAAAATTGAGTTCATCAAGACTTGTGAAGGAGCTTGTGTGACTGCTTGCTACTTATTTGTCTGAAACTGGCTGAAACATCTAGTGCTAGAGTCCTGTGCTCCTTGTGCTGCTGTGTTACAGTTATCGGAGACTCAGGCTCAGCATTCTTTTGAAAAAAATTAATTTTCCAATTTCTTGAATATTCACTCACTTTTGGGGAGAGGTAGAAAATCTTTATTTGCTCTTTTGGTTGCATATTTCTCTTACTGTTTTGGCAGGATTATGTGGGTAGCGTACCTACCGTGGTAATGGGTGGGTTTCCATTTGTGGAAAGAAACAGTCCTTTCACAGCCTCTCTATCAGGCTACATGGTTCTTTCCACTTCTGAGTGTGTGTATGTTATATGCATGTAAATGTGTCAAGAAGCTACTTAAGCTGACATGATTACTTCAGATTCATTTCTGTCTGGATGATTGTGGCTAAGCAGGAGTTTGAGGTAGCTTACCCCTTGGCAACTGGCATAACAAATTTCTGAGCTGGCTTGAAAATTCATTTTTACTTATAGGTGTTAAAATGCTGCTTAAGGAAATTCTTACAAATATGTAGTGTATACTGTTTTATTGATACTCCCTCTTGCCATCATTCTACTTTCCCATCCATCTGCCTCATTCTTTCTCCTCTTCCCTCCCTGCC